AGAGATGATCAAGGTGTTATTTTTGTTTATAAGAGTCTAGATTTATCACAATTGTTGATGGGATGCCTCATTTGGTAAGGAGGCGATAGGTTGGATGCGCACACAGACACACACACACACACACACACACACACACAGACACACACACACGCTATGTCCATGTCTCCTCTCTCAGATCTGGTCATTTGGGACACAAAGGTTTCAGTTGAAAGCTTCAAATGCCAGTTCAGATCAAAACCACCATAGTCCAGATCAGCTCAATGGTGCTTATTGTTACTATGATCACTACAACCCTGCATAATTAGGTCATTATGTAGGAGATCATTTGGACAGTCTTTTCACTGTAAAAAGCCCCAGCGGAGCATGGTAATGGGAAATATCTCTACCCTCCAAGGTCAATGTGTGCCCTTGTGGAAACCACGCACTGATCCAGAATTAAAGGACAGACGCAAGAGATGGCAACAGCACAAACACCTTTTACACAGCAATTCAGAAACCAGGGTTTGTACAGTTTCAGACCAGTAAATATCCAGAAGTTTTCCAGACGTGATCACTGGTGCAGATTTCCATTTGGATGTCTGAAAAATAGGCCAAATTTCTTGAATTAATAGATTTAAACATTTATAGCTACTTATTAGTTTACAAATGTTTCTAATAAGATGGTTAGTGGACAGACTTAGTGCTGACTTGCAGTTGAGCTTTACTTTATATGCAGCCAAAGCAATATTTTAGAGCAAAGCAAAACTAGAATAAAAAAAATATTCACAATTTTCAAGTCTTCACATGGTATATGGGGTTTTAATTCATTTTCCTTTTAATTTAATAGAAAAGTACCTTTTATGAAGGTATGAGAATACTTTGTGCAAAAAAATAAAAAAATAAAATAATTTTATTCAACAATTTCTTCTCTTCCGTTTCAGTCTTTGACGCATGTTCACGACATTACCACGACGCTTCATAAAATTAGGGTTGAACCACTGATGTCATATGGACTATTTTATTGATGTCCTTAATACGTTTATGGGCCTTGAACATGTCAGTTGCGTTGCTGTCTATGCAGGGTCAGGAAGCTCTCGGATTTCATCAAAAATATCTTAATTTGTGTTCCGAAGAAGAACGAAGGTCTTACGGGTTTGGAACGACATGAGGGTGAGTAATTAATGACAGAATTTTCATTTTTGGGTGAACAATCCATTTAACATAACATTAAATAGTGTTATTAAATTATTTGCATTTTTAAAGATTAACTTTAAGTGAGTGCAGTATGTTGATAAATGTCTTTTCTTTTTCTAGCCTTCCCTCATTAAAAGCTGAAACTTAACGTTCAAGTCTTTAGTTAACCTATATTATTACTAGGTTACTAGTATTAGTTGCTGTGGCATATCAAGAACTGTGAAATTTCACTGGTATCTACAATTTTGATATCATAGCAACATTTTTTCACAGCAAAATATTAGGGATGCATCGATCCGATACTCAGTATCAGTATCGGCTCCGATATTGCCATTTTCTGCTGGATCGGGTATCGTTCAGACGAGACCAACCCAAATCCGACAGTGTATATACTATTCTGTGTTATTGTTAAGCCCCACGAAAGGCACAAAAACATTATAAAGCACCATAACGTTTACGTGCACTATATTTCAAGTGTTCTGGAGCCGTTTCATAGTTTAATGTGAAGTATAGATGAATATTTAAGTCAAGTTCATGTAAACTCTTCTCTCCGCTGCAGCTGTCTGTCATCAGCAGCATCACCATTCAGCATTCAAATGCGTGTCGCGTTCGGTTACTACGGTCAAAACGATGAAACTCTCTTCAAAAGCGCAAAATAACTGAGATTTAAAACTGTTAAAAGAAAAGGCTCAATAAAATATTGCACAGATATAATACACTACGCAGCAATATCTCTTCCCTTTTTTATGAGGAGCTGCGCGCTGTGACTATGTGTTGCTTCAAGCGCATCATTCTGCGCACGGGATGCGCATAAGAGCTTTGTGCTGCTCACTCAGTATTGGAGCCATACCCTTTCGTATTATACTTTTTAGTGCAATGAAAGCTTATCAATAGTCTTTTTTGTTCTGTTCTATCTATCATATGTTGCTGCTGTATCGGATCGGATTGGTTCTGAAAAAATGGTATCGTTGCATCCCTACAAAATATTCTATATATATCGCTCTCCTGAAAAAATTCTTCATAAATTTTGGTCAAATCGGCCCCTCCTAATAGTGCTTAATAAACTTGATTACTGAATATTGACCAAAATATCCAAATACAGCTTATCTGTTAGTCTGATTAAGATTATTAATGCGCGTGTGCTGAATTTAGGTGTATTTTGATTGGTTAGTGAGATTCATTTGAGTCATATCTGCAGGAACTACTTAGCCCAAGTTTTAGAGAGAGAAAGAGATGGCACAAGCAGAAGAGAAGCAGGGACAGGAGGGTGACATGCTAGTGGGGAGGTGACCATCCGGGGAGGCGACAGGCGAGACTGGCAGCTGCTCCTGTAGGAGGAGGGGGTGAGGGAGCCTGCAACCGCCCTCCAATTGACCAAACACTCCAGATCACTCACCTGCCCCAAGGGCACTAAATGCCCTCCACTAAACACACAGATGCAAGAGCTTTCATGTCGTTTTCACACACTCTCAAAAGTCACAGACTTCTAGTTCACATGCAAAACAGTGGTTTAAAACACAGTTCACCCAAAAATGAACATTCTGTCATGATTTACTCACCCTCATGTCATTGCAAAGTCATATGACTTTCTTGCTCCAGCATTGGGGTAAACTATCCCATTACGTTCTTTTGCACTCAGCAAACATTTTATACTGTGGCTGAACGACAAAAAAATACATGGCTCAACTGTCATCAGTAATTATATGGCCATAATTTATAGTATATCATCATACAGTCATAAAATGTTGTGTTACTCCGGTTACAGTTTCTAGGGCTGGTTTTCTTGATAAGCAGCCTGGAGCTGCACACATCAACAAGCTGTTTGAGAGTGTGGCCCATACACTAAATGCTTCCAGTTGTGTAACACTATTACTAAGCTGCAAACCAACACATCTCCCCCACATAGTGCTCTCTGACAGAGTGAATGAGTACAGCAGCACTGTCTTTCACAGACAGATGACACGGCGGTGAGAAGATGCATGACGGGGCATGAAACACCATCGCTGTGATGTCATGAACATTGAATGAACTTCTAAACCCTGTGAACAGACAGGATGGCTGATCTATCACACAAAAACACTAACATAATAATATCATATTGGTCACACCGTTAAACATTTAGTGTTGCAAAAAGGATCTTTATGATACTGAAGGACTCAGTATGGTTCTATGCATGATCTTAGAAATATTAACAAAAATTAAAGCATAATACCATTCCAATAGTTAGAGTCAGTAAGATTTTTTTAAAGGGGTCATATGATGTTGCTAAAAAGAACATTATTTGGTGTATTTTTAATGAAGTAATTCTTTTATTCAGCAAGGATGCATTAAACTAATCAAAAGAGACATTAAAGTGTTTGTAATGCTGTTCTTCTGAACTTCGTATTCATGATTCAAAAATGTATCATGGTTTCCACAAAATTATTAAGCAGAACTGAAGAACTGGTTGCAACATTCATAAACAAGTTTTATGCGCACCAAACCATTAGAATGATTTCTGTAGGATCATGTGACACTAAAGCCTGGAGTAATGGCTGCTGAAAATTCAGCTTTGCCATGGTAGGAATAAATTACATTTAAAAATATAGCAAAACATATAGGCCTATTTAAAAAAACTCAATAAAATATAAAAATATTTCTGTTTTTACTGTGTTATGCGTCAAATGCAGCCTTGGTGAACTTAAGAAATTTCTTTCAGAAAACATTACAAAGATCTTAAAGACCCTAAACCTTTGAATGGTTGTGTATACATTCTTTACAATATACAAAAATGAATTATGGCTTCCATCAAATGCACTGCAGAACTGTACAGTCAAGTGTCAATGTCAACCAGAAGTCTGGGTGAAAGGTACTGTAGGAGGCCTGTGATAGAGATATACAGGACTATTTATAAACTATATATAAAAATACTTGAATGAACTAAAGTAGTGACTGATAAGTAATACATTTAATAATGGAACCCCTAAGCTGACTACGAGTCTGTAAGGGCTGAAAATATCGTTTACAAGAATCAAACAATGGAAATATCAAATTGGATAATCATCATTTTATAATGACTAAAGGGACAGAGGAAATGTCTATAGAAAAGGTGTGTTTGACAGATGTCTGTGTGCAAACAAGGAGTACAGCAAAAAAAGACCAGCGCTGCCATTGAGTTTCGCATTAAAGCCCAGACACACACACTGACAGCAAAAGTGGTGCCCCTTTAATATTGTCTCAAATCTGAAAACAAAGGGCTTTGAGAACAACAAAGATGGTAACATACATAAATCCATATGCACTCGATGTGTCTCTGTACTACGGTATTGTGTCTAGCAGAACTGTCAAGGGCTCTCTTTTCTTTGAGGTATCTAGATCACTGAACAAACAATAGTCTCAGTCTCTTGAGGTGAAATTAACGGCCGGATGCAGCAGCATTGCTATTCTACTTCATTCACGTTCGGTTCTTTCATTTACACGAGTTTAAAAGCACATTTGAGAAAGGAAAATCATCATTTCTGCCGACAGACTCCGGCTGTGTTCCGAAACCTAGTGAGCTGCCTACCTAGACAGCATGTCTGGGCATCACAGGCGCGTCAGAAACTACATTTTGGCCATCCAGACATTCTCTCTAGCTAGGCAGCTCACTAGTTTTTGAGACACAGCCTGTTTGAAATTAAATTCTCTGAATGAAAACAAGAGGACATTCAAACATTAACACAAAACAGTAGACAGTCGTATCTTTGAGCTTATATGTGTCTATTATAGCGCCATACGACTGTAGGGTTTAAATATTAGGTTAATATTATGAACATTATTAAGGTTGAGGCGATAACTCCATCTCTTACCTTCAGACAGCTCGAGCTCCAACTCCGCCAACTGCTCTCTAACCTCTTTCGGTAGAGCTGCCAAATCCACACCGCGGTCTGCCATCGTCGTGAGAATACGCTGAAGTTGTTTTAAGTGTGATGAAATGCGTTTCGATAGCCAAAAATCCTCCCGTCAAGACAGAAGACATGAATTAAAAGGTGAGTAACAATCCATCCGGACAACTACTCCTTCCGCCATGCTGTGAGAACTCACCAACGGCGCTGTGCGGTCACGTGATCGCGTTTACCTCCTGTGTGTGAACAGACACCCCCAAACACACACACTTCGAGACAACACGCACGCGCCCTCTAGCGACAGGTTGTAATACTACCATGGATGTACTATGATGTTATTTATGTACAGTCGTGGCCAAAAGTTTTGGCAAGGACATACATTTTGTGTTTTGCAAAGTTTGCTGCTTAAGCTGTTGTGGTGTTCATTCACATTGTTTCTAGATTATTGTGTAGAGTGATCAGATGCATTTTAAATAATTGCTAAAAGCTTCATTGGCCAAAAAATGAACTTTTCACACAAAAACAAATTTCACTGTTTTTGATCCTGACACAAAATGACCAACTAACATTAACTGACTAATCATATCAGCAGCACATGTGAAAGTGTGAATGAGTACTAGTCAGGTGAAATCACTTTCATACTAATTAGATTGTGAGAGCAGACTGATTGCTATAAAAGGAGGGAAGAAGTGCTTCCAATCATTGTGTTCTTGTTATCAATGGTTACCTCCAAAGAAACACGTGCAGCCATCATCG